TGCCCCCTGTGCCTGCCTGTCCAAGATACCTGGCACTTAGAGCATGTGACATGGATCTCCTGTCTGCCTGAGCACCAGGTATGCAGTGCCTTATTGCTCTGGGCTTTCACAGGTGACTCACAGATCTCTCCAGAGTTAGCTAGAAAATTATCAGTACAGAATGTCCTGATGAGACCATTCTGCTCTAAGCTCCATCAGAGACTGCTGCTGGGCTTCACATTTTCCTACCTTAGACTTAACCTGGAGAGGAAGCATGAGTTTCTTGACCTTTCTCTAAGCATGCATAACTTGTCTTCAGTGCTCTGGCTGGGGATACCTGTAAACTGCAACCCATCTGAGGCCATGTCTCCCTCATTTCCAGCTGGCAGGCAGGTCGGTGCTGACAGGCATGGACCAGAGAATTTTCTCCATTCCAGAACTGCTTAGCAGCAGGTATGTTGTTCTGCCCCAAATTACAAGTGAGTGTGTCTTAGAGAATGTGTCTGTATGCATTTTTATCGGAAACAGTGCTGTAATAAAGAGCGATGAATTATCCAGCCTGGAAATATGGTTTGGAAATCTTCCTGTGTGCAAGTAATCCAGACTTCTCCCATCCTGGTTATCAAAGCTAAAGGGATTGCAGGTGACAAGACTGCAAAATCCGTGTCCAGAAAATGTTTTTGCTATGGCTGGTGTGAGCTTAGGTTCCAAAGGTCTCTGCTAAATTCCTGTCAGAAGTGGAAACGGGCATGGCAGCGGAAATGAGACTGGATGTATGATTTTTCCTGTTGTTGATTTTAGATTGTTTCAGCAATTTGCTCAAACAAATACTAGGGTTAGAAGCTTTTCTGTTCAAAGCATGTTTAATGGTAATTAAACATAATGGTAAATTTTGTTTTTCTTTGCTTGGCTTCTTCCTTTAATTAAGAAAAACAATTAGATGTTAAGCGGACAGGAAGGCTGTAATGCCTCACTGTTCTTCTTCCACTCTTTGTCTTCAGGCAGGACAAAAATCCTGGTCTGCTCTCAGTTTCACAGGTTCCCTTGTTTCTTTCTCTGCTGAGATAGTGGAAAGGACCTTGTGTGCCTCTCCCAAAAATGAGAAGCCATCTGTGACTGTTGGCCTTCCAAAGAAGAAAGGTAAGATTGTGACAGCCTGTTGAGTAACAACAGATTGATTCTTACCTCTTTCTATTTCAGAGAGGCAGAGCACTTGGCTAACTGTGCTGCTCTATCTGAGAAGAGTGGAAATATAACAGGATGTTGCATCCCATTGCATGTCAGAGGGCTAGGAAACTGCACACTGCATGTGTGGGGTTGGGAATGGGAATGCGTACCTGGAAAACGCGTGAGATAACCTCATTGTGATGGAAGGCAAAACACCTCTAGCAGGTCCAGCTCAGTGACAGACCATGCTGCCTGTGTGTGAGTGAGCTCATGGGGTGTGGTTCTGTGCCTCCTCAGGGAGTCTGCTAGCCCATGATCACAGCGTGAAGCTCAGCGTCTCAGGTGCCCCAGGCTCCCCTGTTGTGATGGACATTTACATTACTGCTACCTATCTGCAGCATCTCCGGGGTTTGCTACCTGGAGCCAAGATCCTCTTCCAGAACTTGGAACGCAAAATCTCAAGGTACCCCTGTGTTTACAGTCCTGATCTAGGCTCTGACTTCTCTTACTGTCTTTGAAACCATCTCTTTAACATCTCATCTCATGCAGACTTTCTTCTTTCCCTTGTCCATACCTTCATGTCTCCCAATCCCTTGCTACAAAACACGTTCCTACCATGTTACAAATGAAGATCAGCCCAGTCATCCCAAGAAAACTGAGCTTTTGGTTTTCATAAGCTCCTTCTGACATCTGCTCTTTCATACTGTAGGTTCCATAATGTTTATTGCATATATATTGCCTCCAGCTGTGTGAGCGTCATATCTCTGCCAGCTTCTCACAAGCCTTTCCCTGCCAGGTAAGTTCAGGGTCTGTTCTCACATTACAGTGTCCCAAGACAAGTTTCTATGTTCCAAGTTTCTCAAATTCCTGTTTTTTCCAGTCCTGCAGGAGGAGCCTCGCCCCCCTCACTCGTGTTTCTATCCAGCTTGCAACCTCACCTGCAAAACCTGCCCCAGGCACGGATTTTATGTCACTTGTCCTGTGTACAGACTGTGTGCCTCCAATGGGTTTGCTCACTTTGCAGCAGCATCTTCAAGGAGGTATTCAAGCTTCCACAGAGATAATTTGTGGGAGGTCTTGTAGATTTTTCTACTCTGACACACCCCTTGCTACCATGTAGAAGAAATAAGGATTCCTATCCCAATTCCAAACCCTCTTTTTCCAGTGTCTGAGACGGTCTTGCATATTAGAAAGGGACCAAAGTGACAACTGATTAGAAGTATGTATCTGATGCCAGGCAGGCTGGCAGGTAGTACTGGGGTTGAAGTGAGGATGTTGAAGAGGAGAATCCTACTCTGTTAATGCTGTGCTCTTCCCAAGTTCACTGCTGTTGAGTTTCAACACCTTGCAGCAGGTGTTTTTTCTCCCCATATAGACTTTTCACAAGACACTAATTGGAAATGCAGTGTAATTCTTTAATCCTTCTCATACTTACGTAGGGAAGGGTTAAATAAAGCAGTGTCCCTTCCCCTTTTCTCTTATACCCACCAACACATAGCTGTAGCTTTATTTTTCCTTCAGGGGAGATGCAGCCGACACAACCCACCATGTCCATCACACACAGGAGTGAGGCAAGCCAGTGCAAGGTAAGCACTGTAGAGATGGAGTATGGGAAGAGGTGGGTAGGAGGGAACAAATTAGACCACAAAGGGGAGGGAAAAGATCAGATGAAGGATGGGATGTGGACAGAATAGCAAAGCTAGAAGTTAGAGTTGTCATGTCTTCTGAGCTGTGAACAAACCTCCCTCTCTTTTCTGAGATCTGTTGCCTGGGCCATGACCTTTGCAAGGGAGCCAAGCGTTGTCCTGAGCTCCCTCTGCATCCTATCCTGCCTGGTCTCTCCATAGGGTGCTGGTGGAGGATGGAACAGGTGAAGCTATGGTGCTGTGCAGTAACGAACATGTGGCAGCAATGCTGGGTCTGAGCCTTCCTGAGTGGGAAGTTCTGCAGAACTGTGTGCAGAGCAGGGGCAGAGTGTCCTTTCAGCACGGGGAAGCTACTGGCACAGGGGTGAGTGGGTTGTTCCAGTAGTGATTGCAATGTGCTGGGCTCAAGCTGGACTGGATTTCCCTTTGCTGTGGGTGTTCCAGGGGCTCCCTGCCTCCCTCTTGCACAGTCCCTGGCAACACACCCTTTCCTTCCTCAGTGTGTAGAGGAACCTGAGGATCTTGTTGCTTGCTACCTAAGGAATCTGTGCAGGAGTCCTCTCATCTGTCGCCCTATCCTGCTGTATTTCAGCCTAGACAGGAAGCCCTCCAAGATCCTGCAGCCTGGTAAGCAAGCACTGCTGGCTTTTCTAATAGTGTGGGAAGGAAGGGAGGAGGCATCTCACCAGGCTGGGGAAGGAGAGCTGCCTTCCCTGCCCACAAAGCATGGTCTTCGAAGGATTGCCAGGGAATTGTGAATTCTGTAGTGTAGAGCTAAGATGTGTCTTAGCAGATCAATGGTTAGAAAAATACAGAAACAATATTACAATAGTCACTATCTAAAACAATCCATTTGCATTTTTCTACTTAAGTCAGAAACATGAAGCTGTTTTAGAGCAAGTTTCCCAGTCCTTGGATGGGACAGGAATATGATCAGCCAGACTTGCTGTGCAGACCTCTCAAATCAAGTGGATTTTGACTTTAGACAGGACAACATATAGAGTCAAGACTAAACTTGGAAATCCTCACCATGGGCTGAGAAATTAAAGCACTGAAGTGTTTTGAATTCATGGCTGCTGAGGTTCATGCTGCCACAACTGTGCAGTTGCTGTGTTAAGAGGACGTTCTTATAGCTGTTTGCACCAATACCAGTGCTTGAGTATGAGTCCAGGTGCTGCAGGGGTTGATTTGCTAAGTTGACCGGAGGATGCTCTGCTGCAGAGACATTATCTTTTGGCTATTGTGCACACCATCTGTAAGGCCAGGTTGCTGACAGTGATAGAAGATACAAAGCTCAGTGCATCAGCTATGTGAACAGCACATAGCTCACAGCATTCTGTGGTGTAGAATGTTTCCTCCAAGCTGGAAGGATACTGGCCAAATGCCTACATCCTGGATTCATTCATCGTGCTGCTCTCTGAGGTTTAGCCAAGTAGCTGCTGCAAGACCTTCCCTCCCCCAGCAATTTCTGCAGCTAGAGCAGAGCGGAGCCCTGTACTGAATTGTTACAAGTTGTATCTTTCCCCTTCAGCTCCACTGCAGCTGAGGAATTTTCAATGTGGTGAAGTGGAGTTTGTGTCACAAGTGGGACCTCGTCCTAGCCTGCTGTGCCTGAACGTGGAGGAAGTGGGACAAGATGCCTTATGCTATCTGAACACTGAGAGGATTAGGAGGACATCTAATTACACTGCTTAACATCTCTCCCAGTGGGAGAGGAATTATGAAATACCCACTTGGATTGGGAGCTTTTTTCTAATCTCTTTTCCAGTGGGAGCATGGATCCTGTGACCACAGGGTGAAGGGTGCAATTAATAAGCTGCTGTGGCTTGTGGAGTTCCTGAATGGTAATTCTGGGCCATTGTCTACCAGTGATACTGGGCTACAGTTTGGAAGAGAGATGTTCAGTGCTTCCTACATGATTTCCATTGCCTTGGGCAATGTGTGTATTTTGCATGGTAGTATCTACTAAATATAAATCTATTAAAATGCAATTTAAAAAACACTGCATCTGTTTTAGTATTGTTTACTTGCTCTATAGGGAATGAAGCAGAACATAGATCCTTGGTGTATGAGCCAGAGACAGACATTTTACACACCATTAGCAAAACTATACAGTTGCCACAGGGTATGGTCTTCTTGACCTAATTGAAATTATGAAAATTACACTTTTAGAGCCTTTCCTTCAAGAAGAGAAGGGAAGAGAGTAAGTTACTCTTTGGAAACTAAATCACAATACTCAACCATAAGATTTTGCTGAAGTTTACCCCTTACCCTCCAGAAAGAAAACAAACAAACAAACAAAACCCCTATCTCAGCCTGAGGAAAATGCTAACTGTTAAATGATGTAAGATGAAGAGATCAAAATCTGATTAAAAATGCAACTGAAAGTAGTCCTGTATTTTGAACAACATAGTAACAGACAGTCCCACAGAAACAGACAGGAAGTGCCAGATAAAATTTGAAAAAAAGGAAAATTTGGCTTTGTATTCTATGTTTAATAACTTTGGTTTTTTAATTTGAACTTTCCAGTAGTATCTTACTCATTTCCTTTTCCTCCCCATTCTGCACTGAGTACTCATCTGTTCCTCTTCTATTTCACATTACAAATGCAATCATCAGTCCTCACACAGCACTTTAGACATGGTTTGCCTTTGCCAGGTTATTCCAAGCCTGTTAGCACTTTTCTAATCCATCACTATTTTGCCATTCACAGCATTTTTTTTCAGAGGGGGAATTTTGATTATAGTCTCTGGAGGAGACTGAAAAGATTGACTGGCTCTCTTACTTACAGTTTTATTAGTACATTTAGAGAATCACAATATGAGATGGGTGAAGCAAATCTGTTTGGGGAGGTTAAGATTTGCTTGCTTTTAGCATTCTGAAGGAGCAGCTCTCAGAGGTATTACAGCAAACCCTTTTACTGTTCTGGTCACGGACTTGCTTCAGATAGGAGAGCACATCTTGTTCCTGTGGTCAGAATTTTTCCTTTATGCAGTTCTCCTTAGTGCATTCCTCACTCTCTTTCTGAAGCCAAAAAAAGTATCCTGTTGTTGATGTAAGAAATAATGCCACAAGAGAAGTCAGCTGGTTTCGTGTCTGTGCTACTACGTGCTCTAGAACTGAGCTCTCAAAGTTCTCAGCCCAAGAGGGAGGAAAGCCTGCTGTGTCCTTCCATCAGGGTAGCTGTATTAACTGTTTGGTTAACTGTTCTGTGGGGAAAGACAGAGATGTTCCTTATAGCTGATTTTCTTTAGCTCTCCAGGTGACTGGAGCCTACCACCCAAAGCCAAAACTGATGAATACTAAAGGTAGTTGTCCTGTGCTTTGGCTGTCTACAGCCTTCCTTATTCCAGGTCCACATGGGTTTGCTCAGGCTGGCAGCTCCCTCTAGTCATGTTCAGGGCATCCATAGGATTTGCTGAAGCTACTGCACTGTACAGTGGAGTTGTCTGAGTAAAGTAGGTGCAAGCAAAGCTTGTACTGCAGCAGGGCTCATGAGGAGGGAGAGGAAAAAGTCCACACTGCCTTGCAGCCATAAGCTGTAGCCCAGGTTCAGAGGGTGCACAGAAAAGAGAACGAGGGGACAAGTAGTTGCTGGCAGTTGATGCTGTAAGAGAAGAATCCTTAAGGCTGCAGAAAGTGATGGCAGAAGCCATTAGGGAGCCTGTGGGAGGGACAAGTCCTGCATCCTACCTAAAGCTGGGGATGGGGAAAGGATGGGCACAGGGGAAAGACAAATCCTCCCATTCTGGCAGGCTTGAGATAGGTCTGCTGCTGTAACCAAACTCAGCAAGAGGGTCTACTCATATTGAGCATATATCCTTATGTGTTTCCCTTTCCAAACTTACCTCCAGGTCCAGCAGAGTTTCCAGTTGTTTTCTGGAGGGTTTATATTGACAGCAGATACAGGGGAAGCAGAAGCATCCAGTGCCAGGCTGGAAAGGAGAATGAGACAGACTCTGCATTCAGCTGCACCAGCTGCAAGTTGGTCCCCCTTGTAATGCTGAAATCTGTAGTAGAAGAATAATGAGAGGCTACCAGAATGAGAACACAGCAGGGAAGGCAAAGCAAGTGTGTATATTTATTCCTTCTCATTTTTCTGAATATTGATATAGTCTGACCCTGTGTCTTACACTGGAGACCCACTGCAATGAAGCTGTCACTGCAGAAGAGCCATGACCCTTCTCATGTGGAACAGGAAAAAATACAAAGGCTTCCTTGAAACTTTGATTTTCTGAGAATAAAGTGGCCTTTTAGAATAAAGGGTCTGGGCTGGAGTCGGAGACATTGTCATCACTAACAGCTACAAGGGGCCTGCTGGTTTGATACACAAATGGCATCTAAGCTGAGCTGCCTAAAGAAAGTGTCATAAGTTGTGGGGGTTGGTTAGTTTGATTTTGATTAACATTCAGAGGAATACATTCTTTTAAAGTGTGTCTCTCTGGTTCCCTGGTGGTTCTGTCCCTGTGCCAAGGGAGCAATTATTACCATGAAAAACTTCTGAACTAGCAAGACCAAACACAAGCCTTTTCCTTCCTCCCAGGAACAGAGGGAGGTGCTTGGATTAGCCATGCTTTTAGTCCCTTCCTTGACTGACAGGTACTACGGGAACCCCCTGATGCCAGCACACTGCTGAAACTCTTGCCCATGCCTGTGGTCTCTGAGTGGTAAACTCTACCTGTCACTTTGATGTTGCCCGTAGCCTTGGCAATGCTGTTTTCAATCACACAGGTGTAGGTGGTATTAGCAGTAATGTTGTACAGGAAGGAAACCACTTTCAGAGTGACGTTTTCAGCGTTCAGCTCATAGCTGGTGTTGGTAACATGACGTAGGGACTCCCCAGCATCACTGTGGGCTGTCCAGTGCACGGCAGGTCGCGGGAACCAGCGCGGTGCTTCGCACTGCAGCAGGTCCCCACTGCTGCTGTTCTCTACGTGGACATTGGGGATGCTGAAGGCTTTGGGAGGGAAAACAGGGAGAGAGTCAGAACAAGGCAAGTTTCAGGCATGAAAGACCCAACTGCCAGTCCCGGGTATTTCTAGTCTACTTGCTGCTTAGCATTGTAGTGCTGCACATGGCCGAACCAAAACCAGAGGCTCAGAGGTCTGTAGCAGGTTGTGCTACAGGAAGATGACTACAGGGGATCTAAAGACTCCTAGGACACAGCAGTCCAGCTTGGTAGGATCTGCTGAGGTCTTGGCACAGCTTTGGTGTCTTTAAGTCATTCTTCTTAAGAGTTATGATTTGTGTCATGGGCTCATAAACCATATCAAGAGCTTCTGGACACCTGAGCTCTTAGAGGGGACTGGGCTGAGGACCTGGCCAGCCTGAGACTGCCTGTGCCTGTCAAATGACCCATCTTCCTCAGGCAGGAACCACAGCTGACACAACTGCACCCAACTCTACGGAAGACTAGAGGCTAAAAGGAGGTACCTGCTGTTCTTGGTAGGGAAATGTCATGCCAAATATAATTACCATTATCAGAGACAGGGTTAAGATGACTCACTCTCTCCGCTCACTGAGAAGGGAACCCGTCCAACACTATGGCTTCATAGAGTCATAGAATTGTTTAGGTTGGAAGAGACATTTAAGAACATCAAGTCCTGTTAACCTATCACTGCCAGGTCCACCACTAAACCATGTTCCTAAGTGCCACAACTACATGACCTTTAAGTACCTCCAGGGATGGTAGGTGACTCCACCACTTCCCTGGGCAACCTGGTCCAGGGCCTGATAACCCTTTCCATGAAGAAATTTTTCTTAATATCCAATCTAAACCTCCCCTGGTGGAACTTGAGGATATTTCTTCTCATCCTGTCACTAGTTGCCTGGGAGAAAAGACCAACCCCTATGGAGCTACAACCTCCTTTCAGGTAGGTGCAGAGAGCAGTAAGGTCTCCCCTGAATCTCCAGTTCTCCAGGCTGAACACTCCCAGCTCCCTCAGCTGTTCCTCATAAGACTTGTGCTCCAGACCTTCACCGGTTTCATTGCCCTTATCTGGACACACTCCAGCACCTCAGTGTATTTCTTGTGTTGAGGGGCTCCAAAACTGAACACAGGATTTGAGGTGCAGCCTCAGCAGTGCCGAGTACAGGAGGGCAATCATTGTCCTGGTCCTGCTGGCCACACTATTGCTGATACAAACCAGGATGCCTTCTTGGTCACCTGGGCACACTTCTGGCTCACGTTCAGCCGCTCAACCGGCAACGCAAAGTTCTTTACTGGGCCACTTTCCTGCCACTCTTCTCCCAGCCTGGAGTGCTGCATGGGGTTGCTGTGCCCTAAGTGCAGGACCCAGCACCTCACCTTGTTGAATCTCATACCCTTGGCCCTGGTCCATTGATTCAGCCTGTCTTGGTCCCTCTATGATGTGATTCTCACGCTGAATGGGACTGCAGCCAAGAGAAGCTCCACCTGCAACTGCTGGGCTGAAGACAGACTAAGGTGTGGCCTGAGCTGCAGGATTTGCACCAACATTCATGGATTAAACAAAAGATTTAAATCCCATTATAAGCTCAGGTGTCTTTTAAAGCCAAGATTATCTCAAATAAAGACTTCGATAGCCTTTCTGTCTGTATATTCATCATATTTCCAATATATACATATATGAGGAGAAACAAGAGCTTTTTAGGAAAGCAGAGTTCACCACTTTCAACAGAAATAAAACCTATTGCAGCATTTCACATGTTCTTTCTAACGCATTTTCTCTGTGTATTACCTTAAACATCCAATCAAGCAACACAAAAGCCAGTCAGAGAAACACTAAGACCACCTACCTGTGCAGGATCACATTACCCCCTTTGTATAGTCAGTGTAACTCACCACTTTATCATCAGGAAGACACAGAGGTGACAGAAATGGGTGAAATGCTGCCAAGTTCAGTGTGTGCGTATTGCTTTGTGCCAACTGTGAACATGAGGGCCAAGCCTGGAGGGTTCAGAATAATTAAGCACCCACTAGTGAAAATTCTTCTGTGTCTATACATGTTTTGAGGCTGATTGATAACAAGGTGAAGAAGTAACTCTAGCAAATATGTCATACATCAGATAACGATGATATGGGCTGTTTGCTGCTTTGCTAGTAATTTTTAAAAACTGAAAACATTAGAAAAACAGAGAAAAATATGTAAATAGGCTACAATTTTTACTGTACAGCATTTCTGGCTGTAGAGAGAAAAAGCTATCATGTTATCTCTAATAAGTATAATATCTGGATCTTTATAAGATCAATTAGCTACTCCCATTTTTAGGGGTTATTTGTAGTCAGTTACATAGCTGGTAAACTACATGTGATAAATAGAAGAAAACAGCATTAAAGTAATAGTCTTTCCTGGAACAAGGATGTCAAAAGAGTGGGTAAGGCTATAAACACCTCTGTAAAAGCCAAAAATATACCCTGTTCCTACTCAGGGATGCAGGGTGTGATGGTGGCTGCTGAAGGAGCAGTGCTGCTCACACATCCTCTAACATCATCACAGCTACAGGTAGGTCCAACCGAGTCACACTAACATGTTTTGCAGCAGGATTTTCTTCCTTGTACCACTCACCTCCTGTCCTGTACTGCAGCACAGCTGCCCCACTCCCTCTGGCTGTGGTGATGGAGCACTGGTAGGTGCCAGCATCGGAGAGCTGCACATCCCTCAGCTCCAGGGAAGCATTGCCACCAATCACCTGGTCCGCAAACACTGCCGTGCGGCCCTGGAACAATGGATCTTGCTCTTGCAGGTGGTCTTTCCCACCTTTAAACTCGTGAACCAGCCCAGCTACTCCCTCCTTGGCCCACTGGATCACTATGCTGCCCATCCGGATGTCAGGCTCAAAAGTGCAGCCCAGGATGCTATGCTGGCCAATGTTCCCTGGAGATGTCAGGGCTGTCACGCTGATGGACTGTTTTCCTGCAAGGGAAAGCAAGGAGGCATGGGAACAGTGAGGCAGTGAGCGTGGAGAAAGGCCAGGCTGCCCTGTGGCTGTTGTGTACCAGTCTCAAGGCTGAACTGGCACATGGCAAGGACACCAGTAGCAGCTACAAGTGCTGCTAGCAGAGGTCAACTCCCATGGTTTGTACACCAAGATAAAGCACAGAAGTGTTTCTCTAGCGGGCAGCATGCTTCAAGAACTAGCTGCTTTTACTTATTTGAGAAGAATTTGCATGGTATTTTCTTACTTACTTACATGTATCTGGGATTTTTTCTCTTTGCAGCTGCCAGAAGAGCGCGATTTTTATGTCATGTCTTAGTCACGACCACTCTTTAAGCAATATAAATGTGTTTGCAAGGCATAATGCTGTCAGAGAAAAAAGAGCCTGCTCTTTTCCCCTTGCTGGAATCCAAACTGTTTTCTTTCATTTAAGAAAACTCATTATTTCCCCTCAAGTCAAACCCTAAACTGCAGCTTTCACAATTTACTCCTACTCAGAGCCAGGGCCTCTTTCCCATGCAGCTCTTCCCTACTCATCCTCACACAGCACACTGCAAGGAGGCTCATTTTGGACAACACCAAAGCAACACATTTTGCATCATCTCTGAGGCAATTGGACATCTCTGCTGTCCAATTTCATAGTAAATACCATCATCTCATCCTACATGGGAGAAGGAGCACAGTATGTGCAGGGCTTTCTGCATGTGTAGGCTCAGGGCTCCACGCCCAAGGAAATTCCATCTAACACACCACTACACCTCCAGCAGCACAGGCTGCACTACACTTATCTAGCCTTCATTAAAGTGTGGTAGGTGACACTTCCACACATGATCACACCTCAGCCCATGCATGGGATGAACACTCGGAGGTAGAGGCAGGACAGGAGAATATCACCCCACCCCAGTAGCAGCAAGAAACCTAAGCAGTCACATACCTGAGACTCCAAAACCAATTATCAGGGCAATCACTGCAGCCAGGATGATAATGACTGTAGTCATGCTATTAGGGGAAAAAAGAAAGGACAACATTATCACACAACCCACCTCCTTCACACCCTGTGCCTGTGGTGCCCCTCTGCAGAGCTGCCGGCAGGAAGGAGGTTGAGGTGGGGAAACCACAGACCTAGAGCAAGGTGGACCAGTGAAGCACATGTCATGGTAGTGTTGAACATTCAGTTGAACACTTATCACAAAAGATGGGGGAAAATGCAGCAGGAGAGCCAGGCTTTGCCTCTGAGAGCAGGCTCCAGTGCAGGATGCTCCTCTCTGCATCCCCTGGTGCATAAGCAAGTCAGGAAGTCCCTGCTGGCACTTGCAAGGGACCAGTACCCCAGGGAAGTGAGCAGAGCAGACAGGAGGCACCAGATACAATCCAGGGAGTGTGCAAGAGGGGATTGGAAACAGGGCCAGTTTACTGAGCTGGTCAGATTTGGGGTTCTCCAAATGAATGGATAATGGGCTGTTGAATGAGAGACTGAGGAGGAGAGGACCACTTGTCAAGCCACACAGGCAGAGCAGCTTGCCAGAGGAGGTGACAGGCAGCATATCATGGAGCAGCACAGCTCAAGCCTTGCCAAACACAACCTGTCTCCAGCACAGTCCCAGCTTGGACAGACCCATAAGCATGGCCAAGTGCAGGCTCCCATTGCAGCCAGTGGAGCTGTCATATGTGGTTATGGATACGTTTTCATGTGGACTGGTGGGTTATGGCAGCAACCTCAGCTCCCTACCGGAGCAAGCCTTGAAACAGCTCTCCACAAAACCCACAGGCACATCCTGGGGCAAACAGCTCGTGTGCTCATGCCCAACAGTCTCACAGGAGTGCTGGGCTTAGCCTTGCTCAAGATTGTCAGAGGAGAAGCCTAGAGAGCTGCAGGAGGTCCTCACAAGATGCTTTACCCCATTCTCAAGCCTGGCAGGGCAGTGGAGGGAGCTGTGCTGCAGGAGGCATGGACACCAACACCATCATCCAGGGCTGCCAGCCCAGGGCTTGTTTTGCCCTGTTGTACACAGAAACTCTTGAGCTGCTGCTTCCTATCTCATTCTCAGACAGAATCAGGCTGTGAGAGGTCATGGCCTTTCTGCCTACACAAAAACAGCTGCTCTGCTTCAGCAGCATTTGCTGGCTTGCAGCACTCTCTTTCCCAACCCACGGGGCAGCCACTAGCAGGAGAGCCCATCGGTGTCCATGCGGCCACAAACTCTTCCCACCATTAATGTGTGTCTGAGTCAGTTACTTGCACAATCACTCCTTCATTGCTGCAGATGCCACGATCACAGGGCTGATATGGAGCTCTAGGGAATTGTACAATATGAACACACCTCTGCTCCAGGGAGCAGCAGGGAAAGGAGATAGCGAAGATGAGTTCAAAGAGGGGATGGAGAGGAAGGCAGACATGGCAGAAGAGTTGCTTTCCTACCCCTGTCTCCCTTCCATCCTCATTCTTAAAGACAGTGGAAAGTTGTCCGAGGAAGCGCTGCCTGCACATGTGCAGGAGAAGGGATCAGAACTGTGTATTTCACCACAAATATGCAGTAAGTCCATGTAGGAGTTCATACAAGTCCATATATACATACACAACTGCACCAAGCCCTGCCTAGATGCTCTCAGAGATGGGGGAGGTGTCACATGTTTATCTTCCTCCCCATTCTCACTTATGACCAGGGTGGGCATCAGTTCTTCACCTACTCCTTCCTGGTGCCCTGCAGCTGTGGTTACAGCTGACCCTGTCAGGGAGGAAAGCAGTGGATATCCTGCCATGGGCATTGGGCAGCTAGGGACCCATCACCAGCCACTGCTTACCCTGGGGGCCTGCAGGATGGGGACTTTGTTGGCTCATGTGGATCCCAAGGTGTGACAGCTCCCAGCAAAGACTTGCCATATCCCATGGGGCTCAACCCCAAGTCACTCGAGGTCTCAGCCAGGCTCATCGTGGGAGAATCTGTGCTTTCCTATTCTGGGGAAGATACCAAGCATCTCATGTATGCGGAATAACATCGATCTCCCTGAGGAGCAACACCAATTTCTACTCTGGGAGCTGATCCCAGAGTGAGATAGTTGCTATAAACTCAGCCAAAGTTGCCATGACCAGCCTCAGCTCTCACTCCTGGGAAACATGAAGCAAGCAGCAACCACATTGTGCTGTCACATAGCAGTTGTGACTCACCTTCAACCCTGTATCTTCCCAAGGACAGACAGGGAAGGTGTTGCAGGGAGCTGAGGGTTGCTGCCACTGGGTTACAGGGGATTTCATCAGTAAATGCTGGGGGGTATGGCAAAGGAGAAGCAGGCAGGATGTCCTCCTGTGCAGTCCAAGAACACTTCAGGTGCCATCACACTTGTCTCCAGTCCTCGAAAGGACCCTCTGGCCAGAACACCACCTCCACCCTAGCACTCTTCTGGGTAAAACTCACCTTCAGCTCGCTCAGGCAAACTCAAACCAGCACAACCAAGCTAGCAACAATGCTTTTGTCCCATGCTGGTGCCACCTGCCCCCCTAGCTGCAAAACCTTGCTAGCTTTGCATCCAGAGAGGTGCTTCCCACCCCTGGTTCAAGGCTGCAGCAGGTCTGATGGAAAAATCTGCTGTTTTGTTACAGGGGGAATAGCAATTTTGAGCACACTGATGCCACTGCCCACTTCAACACACCTTGCTAGGGACAGGGAGAAATGAGGTCCTTTGGAGTTTTCTCTGCAGAAACTGCAAGATCCTGGAATCACAAAAATATTCACAGGCCTAAAAATATTTGCCTGTGAGCCCACTGTGTGTAATGTGGAGATGTGGAGTGCAGAGTGAGCACAGGGAAGCTGACATCCCAGCCACATGCTGATGGTAGCTGTGTTTTGCAACACTCTAGTCCAGCAGTTCAAGCAAAAAGCAATTTTCTGTGCATGAGCACACTCCAACCCCCCCACCCCCCTGTTTCAAAGGCATGGAAATACACTGATGCAGACAGCTGGGACTGCACAAGTCGGAGCCCTGACACCACCCTCAGTTCCCAGCACCACTTTGGCAGCCTGTGGGATGCTGCTCTGTGCATCCAACCCTCTTTTCTGTGCCTGTTCCTGATCAGCCAAATTTGGAATCAAATTGGAATGACATTTGGCACCAAATTCATTCATTTTGTGCTGGAATGCTACCAAGCACAGCCTGGGAACAGGGAGAGGCTTGCAGCCTGGCTGTGACAGGCAGCAGAGTCTTAATCCTCCAGATTTCTAGTTCCACTTGGAGTAAGCTTTCCCTCAGGAATAGGCTTAGAGCGTCAAAAAAAAATGGAAGATTAAGAGATTGAAGCTCCCCTGCCTTCCTCCTTATATCAAAGCTTACTGTAGAAAAGAAATAGCATGGCAGGGGAAACCTGAAAGGACACATTTTCCATTCCAATATGCAGCTAATCATTACAGAGCTCAACTTTTTTCAGCACTTAAGTTTTATTTTTTTTAGCGGGGTGGGGATTTTTTTTTGGTTTTGATTTTTCCTGAAACCAATAGATATCTCCCACTGCTTCTCTGAAACTTCTTGGAAAATTCACCCATCTCTCTGGTCTATTTCTGTATTTCAAGATTGCTCTGAAGAGTGTTCCCGAAGAAGCTTGTTTCTCTCAGTAACCTTCTGCAGCCTGGGGCAGGCAGAGGTGCTGGCTCTTGAGCATAACAAAGCTGGTTATTGTGTGCATTCCAGATGCATGAGGAATATGATGCCCAGTGAATATTTACACCATGTGACATTGTGTCTACTAGTGGCCTCACTCTCATCAGTGAAAAGGTGCAGACAATACAACTATTTAGTTCTTCCTTGACGCTCCATATGAAAAAGCTCATGCGAGAAAGGTCTCATCTGTTCACGTGTCCTTCTCACTGCTGTTTAGCTCAGGTAGGACAGGTACTTGTAACAGCTGAAACTTTTTTCACAGAATAAATGCAAGCAGGGTTGTCTCACACACCTCACTGGAGCCCCTGTCTCCATCCAGCCTGGGAAGTCCATACCTGGGATGAAAAGGCACAGCTTGTTGGTGGCTCTGTTCAAACAGTGAGGTTTAGCTACAAAAGCTCATGTTCATTGGAGGCTGAAACAAGTTTGCCATTTTACCCATGTGGTGGGGGTTATTTTCAACAGGAGATGAGGACACGGAGTATATATTTTTATGACATCACCACAATATTTTCTTTTTCTCTAGTTCACCAGGACTCGGTCAATAGCTCCACAGGCAACAGGCTCATTGAAACGAGAGACACAAACCAGTTTGAACATCTTCCCAGCTCTTACTCCTGACCCACACTGCAAGGAAACCTACAGAGGACTGTCTCTTTCTCCCCACAGCACACTGATGTGATGGAAACATAAGCAACTGTCGGAGGACCAGCAGAAGGAATGAGGCGCCTTCCTCAAGACACTGATACCCCAACCTACAACAACCTTTCTTGAGGCATTGCTACCCCCACCTACCACAACATTCCATCCTGAGGCTGCAAATTCTAGCAAATGCAGTTTCTAGGACATGCATCTCCATCCTGGCTACAGCTGATGACCTGCACACAGGTGTCTGATAGATACATGGCCTTACAGATTACATAATAGAAGCTGTACTGGTATTTAAATAGCTTGAGTGAGTGCAGTAGTCAAGATGCAAAGAACTGCTGTCTTGAAAGCTCCTGGCAACAGGGTGATACATCCCAAGAATCTGGAAAAAGCAATTCCCTCCCTCCCTTTGGAAGCAAAGCAGGTGCAGACAGTGCCATACCTCCAGAAAATGACCTGGCCTTGGGACGCCATGGTCACAGCGTCTGTGAAGACAAGCCAAACTCCAGGTGCCCAAAGGTCCCACACTTGTCAGCACAGCCCCTGTCCTTTGCATGATGTATTCTCCTGAGCTGTCCTGCTTAAATAACTGAACTCAGCTAAGGAGTGGTGAGCCCAAGCACTGAACTCTCAGGAATGAGGAAGCAGTGATCACCTTGGACTCCCCTCACCAGGACAGTCAAAAGAAGGGAAGCCTGGTTAGACACTGGGGCAACAGAAGATACCTCCTACACCATTCATATAAGAAACATCTGATTTAAGACAAAAAGTAGAACAGCTCATGGTTTGGTAGTCAGCTAAGCCTGGGCTCAGAGTGCAGAAGCCTCCCATATAGATCCACAGCTTACCTATCACTGATGGGTTGTGCCATATCCAGGACCAGCTCAGGTCTCCTTACTAAAGTCTCCAACCATGCTCTTGGCACTGGGCAGAGGTCCTACCTGTGGATCCCCTTCCTTGTCCCATTTACAATGTACATCTTCCCCTGCCTTTCTGTGCTGTGCCACGAGGCTCCTCCAGGCTCATCAGTGCTGCCAGAGCCACACAGGTTTGGCAGTGGCCCCTTTTCTGACTGCTATTTAATTCCACTGAACAGGTAAAGCTGCTTCTCCTGCTTGAGGACAGCTCCTGCTGCTCTTGGGTCTGACATTATGCTGCACATCAGAGCATGTAAAGGAAAGAAACTGGCACCTGCAAGACCCTGCAAGCCTTTCCCTCTGGGTTTGGTCTCACTCGAGCTGGGAACAGGATGGCTCTTGGGCATAAAAAGTTGAGAAGGGCAGAGAGATGGAGAAAGAGCAGAAAAGAGAAGGCAGCTTGCACAACCTTGCTCAGTTTCCCAAAGGCAACCTGTGTATCCTGTCATCTAAGTCTGCACTGTGTTCCAGGGAGGCTGGAAATAGGGAGATTTTTGACAGTCCATAGCTATCTCCAGCAAGTTTGGATGGTTAGTGGGAGTGAACAGCTTTCCCATGCAGAGCTAAGGATGCCCAGAGGAGATGGGAACAATCCAGCATGCAAAAAAATAATCCCCGAATTACTTTCTCTGCGACAACTTGAGGTTAAAATCAAGAGAAATCTATACTGGTCAGTGATGATCATCCAGAAAAAAAAATCTGATTTGTTTTGCAGTATTCTATACTGATTACTAAACCTCTCATAATTTAGCAAAACAGTATGAGAAGCCAAGAATAGCTCTAGGCCATAGTGGCCTGGTGGGAAATGTACATTAAGAAATTGCCTGCTGCCCTCAGTGACACCTGATTACTGCCTGCAATGACACCAGATTTATGGCTGCCCACAGTGCAGTGCACAGACAAGGTGTCCCTGTTCAGCACCAGTATAACTCCAGGCCATAGCTGCAGCACACCTCACAGCACAGTCAACCATCTGGTTACATCCACATTGGAAAAACACATCTAATTCTCAGGCACAGGCAGCCCAGGCAGGACGAGGGCAAGTCCCATTCACCAGGGCAACACCACAATAATTTCTGAGCAGCACCCATGGTGGAGCCTACTCCTCTCCATATAGCACAAAAAAAACCCCAAGAGGTATATTTCCAAAAGAAACAAAGGATCTGTGACCACGTGATCTTCCCAGTTCTTGCCACTTTTGATTTTATTAGCACAATCCAACCAAATATGACAGCAGGATCTGGTCCTATATGGTCTGTTAAAGTTGGTGAACACCTGGGGAAGAGACACATCAGCTGCCTTTGCTGTAGAGAAGGCAACAGCAGCTATAATGTCCTACCAGCTTTGTTGGGCACAGCAGCTGGTACCCTATATCTGGCCTCAGCATGAGGGAACAGTAGGGGCAGGAAGGAAGGAAGGTGGGTCAGGACCCAAGAAGATGCTCAGTGGTCTGGAGAAGGCATGAGCACAAGGATCCTACCACCTTTGTTGGGCACAGCAGCTGGTACCCTATATCTGGCCTCAGCATGAGGGAACAGTAGGGGCAGGAAGGAAGGAAGGTGGGTCAGGACCCAAGAAGATGCTCAGTGGTCTGGAGAAGGCATGAGCACAAGGATCCGACTGCACTTGCTCTACCCTTCATGAAACAGCTCGTTTCTTTCTTCACGAACAATGATTCTGTCAGAAGAGTTCCTCCACTTACAGAAAGTTCACACCTTGTTTTGGTGTCACTGGAATGCTGCAGCAGCTATCTGTGAAGGAGGAGAACCAGGAGAAGATGGAGATGTGGTACACTGACTAGCAGCCAAGTTTGACAGAGCATTCAAAAGAGGTGAAGGCAGCCAGCAGGCTGAAAGAGATGAAAGCTATTCGTGGGATTTGGCCAAAAATATTGGACATCTTCCCAGTCGTGTGATCCCATATCTCTATCAATGATGACAAGAGGTGCTTGAGAACAAGCCATCATATCTCAAAACAGGGAAGTGATGAGCCACCCTTGGCTGCAAATGCACAAAGTCCTCTACACTGCTGGTGAGCCACTACCAGGATCTGTCCTGACAGGACTCTCCAGACAGTCAGCATGAATCATCTCATGCTATGGGAAGGCCAAGAAGGTTATCTGAGCCAGATTCTGCTCTGCTCCTGTGATCTTCTGGGACAAACTAGACACTCGTGCACAGAGCTATAAGTGCAGCCATGTCACCGGTGCAGTTTTCCTCTCTGAGAAGGGAGAGATGTAAGTACAGCCATGTCACTGGTGCAGTTTTCCTCTCTGAGAAGGGAGAGATCCCCTAGCATGATACCTGACTCTGGAGGTACCCTACATGGAGTCTTTCAGCCTGCAGGCATCATTCCAGGTTTTCCACTGCCTCTTATTCTTGCTGATCTTTCAGCTACGCTCTGTTTTCCCTCTTGAGGGAGTAAATCCTCTTTCTCTTGTCTCCTAAAGCCTCTCCTCATGTTCATCCATATTTTTCCAAGATTTTGGAGACACGAAATTTAATCAACAAGAGCTTTTGTCCCGGGATAAGTGTCAATATCTACTAGCACAGTTCTGTCAGCACTGCCTGATAACAAATATCTTTGTTATCTCAAGGACTGGCTGGTCAGAAATAACATCACGAGCCAAGCAGACTAACTACACCTCCTAATCCCCCACCTGCCCCTGGCTGTTTACCAGCAGAGCACTGGAAGCCTGTCTTGGAAACTGCTGTTGGGGTCCAATGTCAGACTCCAGCAGATCAGTAGCATATATTTATTTGCAAAGCATTCTGAGTAATGAAGACTGAGGGCAAAGACTGCTTGCAAATAATGGGAAGACACTCACAGCTAACCCCCCCAGAGTGACTGAGGTCATTAAATGCCCTTTCTGAACACGATTCTTCAAGGTCTCTTCATGCACAGCACTCTTTGCCCAGACACACAGCGGTAGTTGGGACTGACTGAGCCTTCAAGTCTAACAAAAGGAGAAATTCAATACCAGGGTCTGACCCTGGCAGGATTAGTGCCCCACGCTGTCTGAAAACTGCTCTTCCCATGCTATATGCAGAGCTCAGCCCAAGCTGACTTCAAGTCTTTGAAGGGTTCATCATTGGTGCAAAACTCACAAACAACTTCTGGAAAATGTCAGCGACAGGGTGTGTAAGGGATGCCTAACACAAAGAGAAAACACACTCTCTCTGTCTGAGAGGACAGAGATGTTTCTAGACAGAAATGATGTGCCTAGAAGGTAGTGCTGTCCTTATGTGTTCCCTCTGCAATACAGCATGGAAACTGAGAAAAAGCAACACACCTGTGGAGAGTGAGGGGCAAGAAAAAGAAAGACACAGAAAATGAGACATTTCAGTTTATACCACATTCTGTACTGAGCACTGACTCTGCACAGCAAGGTTGAGAACGAGTTACTGTTTGCTCCATGAAAGTTTAACTCAAATTAAACTTTCACTTTGAAATTTCAGAGTCAGCAACTTAGAGGCTTAAATTGCCTAACTTGGAGATTTAAACTGCCTAACCTTCCACTGTTTGTTTGACAGCCCTTTCTGGATGATTAATGGAAAGCTATAAACAGCATTTGCATAAGGATATCTATCTCCTTTGCTGGGAAGAAGAAGTTCCAAAACTGGCTTTGCAAGAGGAACAAACCACAAATGAGAGTCTTCTAAGGCCGAGCAAGCAAACAGACACCACCAGTTTCTACTATTTACAAGGCAGCTATCATAATCCAGAGAGCAAGAACCAGTCCTTGCTGTTGACACAGGAGCAACATTCCTCTCTCCAGGTGACTAGAAGTCAGACTTTTGTCCCCAGCTTCTGAGGCAGTATTAGGAGCCCCTAGCAACACACACCTACTGACAAGGTTACCCCCAGGTCAATCATACTCCAAGTCTCAATTTTTGGTAAGGAAGGTATCCAGGGTGTCTGCTTCACCAGGCAAGCAGCAGGTTAGCAATTGCCCTTCCAGGAGAGTGCCTCCTCTTTCTCATCACAGAAAGTGACGGAAATTCATGGGAAATTGCTATTTTCCCAACTATAGGTTGGTAGTGCATGTAGAAGCCCAGGAGATACATGCCCCTTCTCCTATGGAAACCAGGACAAGCTCTCCTTCTAGAAAGAGCCTTGCCAAGACTGCACAACCCAAATCCAGGAGTTTTGCTGTATTCCATCTCCTTAAGCTGCTTTTGTCTCGTTGCCCAATTACAGGACAGACATCTGCAAACTTGCACCCATGGCTCCTGCTAATGCTCAAACTGTCCCCAAATCTTCCCTTGATGAGCTGGGTACTCTCCTGGCTCCTGCATCACCTGCAGCAGTGTTACGTCCCACATCATCTCCATGGAGAACACACAGACCAGGTGAATGATAGTCTAATTCCTGTTCCCATCAGTGCCATGGATTTTTCTTAGATTTTCTTCAGATACAGTACTAACCTGCCTTGCCTTTGCAGGGAGGGTATAATGAGACAACAGCTTACCAGAGAAAGTATAAGAGTTGCAAATGCAAGAGCAGCTCCCAGAAACACCACTGTGCTACATGCACACATCCCAGGCACGAATCCAGACATATATCTAACAGGGTGGCAGAAGCCATATTCAGGCTGCCAAGCCTTTCCAAGTCATTACCACAAACCCTTTGGAATGTGCCCCAATGAGCAGCTTTGGCCTCTTCAAGAAGGACAGCAGAGGCTGTTGATCCTGCAGAATGGGACACATCTTGACCCTCTTCTGGGGTAACTGCACAGACTGAGTTTCCCCTTAAAACATGAGCCCATGGGCCACAAGTCCTCAGGATTGTAGGCAGCAGAACAATTCTCGGAATTTGCTACTGTTTGAGCACAAAATAACTTTGCACACACACCCCTGGGTGTAACATAAGGTACAATTTTATTTTCCCTTGTCCCCCTTTCTCAGCTCATACGCATCATGATGTTTTCTGGCAGTGAGGCTCTGCAGTGATGGCAGGGATCCTCGTGGTTTGTGCTGGTGCAGCAGCCAGCAGCAGTGCCCTGGGCTTGCAGGAGCTCACCTGGCTGCTCAGAGCGCCACTGTCCTGAGCAAACTCCTCTGTGAAGTGTCACTGGGTGGCCCACCCAAACATTCTGAGCTCTCTTTCACTTGTCCACAGCATGACCAGTGGTGGCAGCCAGGGTGACCCTTGTGTCCATGGCCACAGCCTTGGTACCCACCTGCAAGACAAGATGCACCATCAGCTCAATCCAAATCGGGCCAGAAAATCCCCATGTGCTATAGGCTTTTGAGAGTGCTTTGGCCCCAGAACTTCAGTAAAATGGGGAGGCATGTGCTAGTGAGAACACAGCATATTCAAGGCCAAAATTGCCAGGGCTTCATGAAGAAAGAACAACCAAGGGGGACCTCCTCATCCCAATATCTGGGGAAAGCTGAAGATATCCTTCCCCTTGCCTGTTGAGTAATGCAATGCATGGGCCTCCAGAACCCCACAGCAGCTGCTAGTGCCTATGGCCAGAGCTAGACACAGAACAAGCACAGAAAAAGGAAGAGGTCAGTTCTATACTAAAAAAATGCAAAACACATGATGACACATGGAGGTTAAGGACAGGGAAGCTGCTTGGGATTAAACAAGCAAGGGAGTTGAACTCTTGTCCTATACAAGGAGTGAGGCTTCTCCAGAGTACAGAACTGGTCACTGTGGCACAGCCCACAAGCTCCCAACATGCCAGCACTGGAACAGGAACAGTAGAGACAAAATGCTGCTTAGCCTCACTGAGAAGGCTGAGGTGCCCTGCCCTATCTCCTGCACAGTCAGCTCAGGTCTCTGTCTATGGGTTGTGATGTAAAGACCCTTAGCCTGTCCTGCTGCATTTCTACTGCTGCAGTCACATCCTACCAGAACATATGTATGTACAGTTTATCACAGTCTTGGTGCTTGTGCAAGGCAAGAGCTGGGCTAGAGTATCTACTCACACCTATATACACTAGGGAGGATCTACTGCAACAAATCCTCCTGATGTCAGCAGCATGGGGAGAGCTGAGCACTCACCTGGCATGGTCCCACCACAGGCACAGCGAGCAGCTTTCTGCCCTCCACTTGAGCAGAAAGTGCAGCAGTGAAACACACCTTGGTGCTCACGGAACTTGTGTTTCACCATCAGACTGAATGGAGAGCCCTGCAGAGGACAAGCAGAGAGGCTGCTGCAGTGGATGTTAGCAGATGTTGTGTCTGCATTTGCAAACAACTGGGTGATGCTGTCAGTCACAGATCACTAAGCCCTGTCTTAAACTGCAGTGTTGTAGAGGTAATCCTCAGAAGGATTTAAAGCAAATACTTAGAAAAGAAAAGCAGGTGAAGAACAAGAAAAACAAGAAATGCTACCTGTACATGTTGCCCTTTCACACAGACACAGACAGCATACAAGCCTGGCTCCTCAGGGCTGTAGGAAATACAGTAGGTTCCATCACCATTATCACACACTGTTGGTTTGACTGCACTGCAAACAAAAAGAAGTCCAAGAGATCAGTTACAAGCAGAAAATCACTCTACATATGAGCTACTGTTTGGCCTAGATTTGCAGTCAGCTCCTTGCTCAGCAGCTGTGGGTCTCAAGAAAGCTTAAAAGGATACATGAGCCATGCTCAAGCACTGAGTGGCTTTTACACACACCTGCTACTGGAAGCTGCAATAACCATACAAAGGAAGCCACACAAAGCTAGCTGCACTGCAAGCATTTGTAGCAACCTTGTGCACTGAAAAGGCAGAAGATGACAGCACACTTGCAGGTCAGATTATCCCATCAGATAAGAACTCGAAGAAATGGGGCAAAGTCACATCTTCAGCAAGCAGTTACCTCCAGAAAAGCCCATTAAGAAGACAGGGCAGGTTTGAACCACTTAACCACTGTCCCAGCTGTATTGACCCCAACTCCTCTCTTCAATGCCCTGAGAAGTTCTAGGTCCCTGCTGATAAACTCCCTTTTCAAAGCATAGCTCATTGTGTCTCACAGGGAACCCTATCGAACAGAATGCCAGGGATAAAGCATCAGGGCAAGGACTGATCGACTGCTCCACAGAAAGGCACAAGGAGCTTTCCGCAGACAATTACCAGGATGCTTTGCATAGAGGAAGGTGTTCTGCCTAATCCTCACTAATTAGTTTCTTGGGCCCCAGGACACGACATTTTATAATCTGTACATATTATAATCTGTATTCCCCTCCCCACCCCATTTCACACCATACAGCTGCCTACATAATTTCCTGACATCAACTGTGTTGTGATACTTCACAGCCTTCTGCAGCTGCTGTGCCTCAACCCAGACAGCTTTCTGCAGCGGAGGTAGTTAATGTGGCCACAGCGACCTCTACCCCACCAAGGGAAATCCACACCACCCTCATGCACAGCCCTCCTACATTGTATGTGCACTTGAGGAGGTGGAACAAAATTCTGGAACGATTATGTTCTGTGGAAAAGCATCTCTGCAGCCAGCATTGCTTCTGTGTGCCTTTGCCAACACTCCCCCACAGCAAGGAAATTCAGCATTCTGTCCCGTTTTTTTCACCAGGATATCCCACCAACAGCTTTCCTGGATCAAGTTAATGCTGGCATCTTCTTCCAGCTATTATAAAACAGCATAGATATTTTTCTTAAGAAGTGTCTCCAACTGATTCTGCATTTGTGCCTGGCTGCTCTGTAGTGACAAGTGTGGCCTGGAAACAGAAAATAATTTTTTATGGTTGGTCATTTTCATTGTGGAAGTACTTAAGGAGCTCAAGTGCAGTCTCTCCTGCTTTTGCTAGAAAAGCTCCAAACATATCAAAGTACTCAATGCTTGCAACTACAGGAGAAAGCACAAAGTCCCAACATAGATTTTTTTATCTCTGGAACATGAACTAGGCACTTCCATCAACTGTCAGAGGCTCCTGAGCTTGGTAAACTGTGTCTGACTTGGGATGGTCATTCATGGGTTGCAACGATGGGGGAGTTCTTGGATGAAATACCCACCAGTCCTTCTTGTCTCTGTGGGTGATGGTGACCTGCACAGTTTCTCCTCCTCGCCCCATCTGCTCCCCCATGGAGTCACAGCAGAGCAGGGTAAAGCCAATCAGCTGGTTCTGATGGGCACTGTGGAGATCTGCAAGGCAGAGAAACAGGACCAGAAAGGATTCATACCAACCATGACTGCCACCTCCAACCTATTTTGCAGCATTGCAGCCCCATCAGAGCACAGATTGTTGCTTCTACTCACAGGGAAAAGTCAATATATGACTGGGTATCAGGAGAGAGGGGAAGCCATAGGTGCTGGGAGATATTTAGCAGGCTTAGCCCAGAGGTCTGTATAGGCCAAGGTGGTGTTCTTCCCTGTCATTTTAAACCCAGCTGGCACCTTTCCAGAAGGCCTCAAGATGCAACCTGGAGGGAAGAGGAACAGCCCCACCGTGCAGGGTGGAGCCCCAGAGACCTCAACACTTAAAAGAGTTTGGCATGGAAGGGATTGAACGAGCCTTAGGTTTGTCTCATCTGCCCTGCGCAGGCTGTAACTGACCTGAGCTGGCTGAACTCTGTGGGCTGGTCTGAACATTATGTTTGCTAGCCATCCTTCAAGTCCTTAGTAAGCAATAGCAAGCAACTATCAATGCCAGTTATTTCCATGACTACCTCAGCAGGTGCTGTATGGAGAATGAACCTACTTGCTCAGCCACAAAGAGGATCTGCCTGGGCTCATGCTGCAGGACAGCTTGGGCCACCAGGAAAGCATCATGCCCTGCTGCTGCAGTCCACTCCCCCTGAGTGAACGGCGGTCTTTGGCCTAAGGATTGCTTGCCTCACACCTCAGCCTCCTGCTGAGGTCAGTGATGGTGTGGAAGACAGTTCCAGTATGCTCTGTACATCTGGACAAGGATAGCTGTCCAGCTCCCTGCCCAGCACGGCTCCCATAGGCAAGCAATGCAACCTCTGGTAGGGCTCTACCTTTGCCCCTTGTCAATGCCTGGATAACAGGCAGCCAACAGTGCCCCAAGCTGCACACCATGTGGGTACAGAGAACAGAGAATTGACTTCAGGGAGCAGTGCATTCCCATTCAGCTGCTGTACAGCACCACATTACCTTCTCCCTGCAGGGTACATCTGGCTGGATCAACCACTTTGTTAAGAATAGCCCCAAAAACTTCATAGCCACGACACTGCCCTGCCTTCTCCTGAGTAGAGAACTGGATCCTGTCATCCACACTGGGGTGGGAGCTGTAAGCAATGCTGTTCAGCTTTGTCAGACAGCTTGACACCACCCCTTTGGTGATGAGGATCTCCAGATCTGAGCCATTCATCAGCAAGTGCTCTGTGAACTCTACACCTGTCCTCATGTCCAGCAGCAGCTGCTGCAGCTGGGCCTTCTGCAAGTGCAGCAGGTTTTCCTTCTGCACCTTCAAGTCCTCCAGCTGCTTCAGCAGCCGGTCCCGGTGCTCTTCAATCGCTTCCACATAGCCACTGGCAAACAAGCAGATCTCTGTGGCCACAGCCTCTGCCCGACTGCGGACTGCACTGCCCATGTCATCGACCTGGCTCAGCACACCCTCTAGGGTGCCCATGTGCTGCTGGGTGCTCTTCAGCAGCTCCCGCAGGGTGTCCCCGTGCCTGTGGATGACATTGCTGGGGAAGTCATAGGTGTGCTGACGGTGTCTGCCCAAAACACAGTCCTGGCACACTGGCTGGTCACACTGCTCGCAGAACAGACTTAGCTTCTCTGTAGGATGGGAAGGGCAGAAGAGAGGCTTCCCAGCCTGGCTGCAATCCTTGGGGTTCTCCAGCTCTGTCACAGTGTGAGAGGCTGTCTTCTTCTGTCTCCTAGAAGGGAACAACCACAAATTACTTTATGCATGTCGGATGCAAAATGCAAACACCTTGAGACCCCTTGCAAATGCCAGTCTGTGACAGGCTGCAAGTCACAATGCACACTGCTCTCTCCTGTCTCCAGTGAAATTCCCTCAGAGGACTTGTGCTCTCCTGAGGACAAGGCTCCACACAAACGAGAACAGCATTTGCAAGCAGCTCATTAGGGGCTTCTCTCAGGCTCCCTAGGCCTCCCTGAGCATATGGTCAGTACTGTTTCGAGACACAAGAATTGTGTGCTCCACCACGGCCGCATATAGGCTGGTGAAAATGGGCTGTCAGAATGCTAAAGCCAGCAGCACCTTGATGGAGCCTGGCAGAAGTGGGATAGTCACAATGACCCCCAGAGCTTGCTATGGCAAAGGCAGCAGGACAGTGGTGAGCTCTGCAAAGTGAGAGCTGGCACGAGATGTCTTAAAAGGGAATTGCTCACCCACAGTTCCTTCCGGTGAGGAATAGGAGGTACCAGGCTCCTCAGCCATCAGCCCAGGGATTTCCCCCACCACAAAGAACCTGTTATAACCCAGACGTCCACCATGACATAGGGCAGCACTAAAATACATCCACTAAATGCTAAAAATAGCATAAGAACACTGGGAGCTAGTTTTTGAGTAGGATATAAAACCCTTCCCTCCTTCCTTGCCTCGTGCACTAATGATTTGTAGCAGTTGCAATGGGCTCTCTAAGCCATGAGCAAAGAAGTACACCAAGGACCAAGCTCTGTAGAGTTGCTCTGGAAACACAAGGCAATCACATCACAGAGTGGGATATGGCCCTTACACTACTGCTTTTCCTTCCCACTAATCCCCTTTGGGTCCAGCACATTTTCAAACCTTTCCGCATTCATCTGCATAACAACCTTCAAATTCACACTTCCCTGAATTCAGCCTAAGTTCTCTCTCACTTATTCCAAGGAGCACAACCATAGCACTCCGATCCAGAGAAACTTTCCCTCCACACCAGGAAATCACTTTAAAATGGTTTTCCTTGGCCTTTGTTCTGCATTGACATCAGCCTAACCAAGTGCAAGTCTGTAGTTGCTAGTAAGGTGAAAAGAATGACAGCAGTAAATACTGCAGGAACTGGGTCATGGGGACAAATTTTCTACTGCTTTATCCCTTCTGCAGTAATTCCCATCAGTGCAGCAGGCTGCTAATCATGGTTAGCAGCTCGAACGGGGTATGAGGCATTAGCTAACCAGAATGGTATGCTGAAAATTACACCGGAGTGGAAAGGTAACTGAAGGTCTGAGCCTTTTTACTGCAGGCACCAGGGGGGGCAGGGCAGAGAGGAATATGTCTCAGTTCCTTCTGGAGAAAGAATTTGCTAATCAAGTGGAAAGGAGCAGCAAGGGTGGAGGGAATAGGCTGAGCTGATTAACCCAGGCTGAGGCTTCTCTGACTAGTGCTGCTGGGTGTTTTTCTGTCTCTGCCTGTCACCTCCTTGGTTCAGAAGGTCATATAGGCTTCCCATCAACTTCTTCTATAGTGCTGCCTGTCCTTTGCCAGGCTTACAGGCCAGTGCTGCCTGCCCTTCTACTCTCAGCTCTGTTGCAGTCACCTCTTCTTCCTACAATACTTCCTACAACTCTTAACAGGCAAGTACATGGGCTGATCATCAGCAGGTAGCAAACACAGTAGGCAGGACTTCCACTTAACTCCCTTCACTTTGCCTAACACACAGTAAATGGTTCTGGAGGTGGAGAGAGGCAGACCAGAACCTTAACTTCCCCATTTTTCCTGTGCCTTCTCCAAAGCAGGACAACACAAAACACTAGGCTCTTGTTCTGACAGTACTTGGCCCACATGCAGAGCTCTGCTCTGCTGGAGCCCCACAGGCTCCCTGGAGCCTGGTGATACTAAACTGTGATGCAAACCAGCATGCAGACACTACCACGGGCAAAACGTAGCCTGATTTTGGATTTAATGGCCAATAATAAGGCTGATGGACCTACTCCCAAAAAGTTCAATAAGTTTTTCACCAATACTCTCAGGCACATGGTACAATTCAGTATCTGGAAGGCCTGCAGGGGAGCTGGAGAGGGGCTCTTTGTTAGGAACTGCAGCAATAGGATAAGAGGTAATGGTGTCAAATTGAAGGAGGGGAAACTTAGGTTAGATACTAGGAAAAAGTTTTTACCGTGAGGTGGTGAAACACTGGCACAGGTTACCCAGGGACGTGGTGGCTGCCCCAACCCTGGCAGTGTTCAAGACCAGGCTGGATGAGCCTTGAGCATCCTGGTGTAGTAGGGAGGTGTCCCTAACCAGGGCAGGGGCAGTTGGGACTAGATGGATCTGTAAGGTCCAACCCCTAAAATTCGATGATTCTGATTCTTGGGGCTGTCCTGTGTTGGGCCAGGATTTAGACTCGATGATCCTTGGTGGGTCCCTAACCAGGGCAGGGGCAGTTGGGACTAGATGGATCTGTAAGGTCCAACCCCTAAAATTCGATGATTCTGATTCTTGGGGCTGTCCTGTGTTGGGCCAGGATTTAGACTCGATGATCCTCGGTGGGTCCCTTCCAGCTCAGGGTATTCTACAATTCTATGCTAGCTGCTTGTGGTCCCCACCTGAGCGTTCCTCCGAGCACCCTCTGGAAGGAGGGTAAACACCCGCTGAGGACCGAACAACCCGGGAGACAGGTCGTTGGATGCTTTGGCTCTCTCTGCGTGTGTCCCTGCCCGCTGTGCCCAC